AGTGCATTGTTTCCAATATCAATTCGTTTAGTCTTTTGCCTCAAATGGACAAACAAAATGTAAAATTTCGATTGCAACGTTTAATTATTTTTTATTTTTGTGCTATAGACATAAGGATTACGTTATGCCATTTGAATTCCGTTGGGTGAAGGCCAACATATATCTTAAATATAACATTGTTCAACTGCACAATGCTCTGTTTTACTTTCTTTCCATAACAAGGTACGCGCGTGCGTATATTTAGAGACAACAACAAAACTAGTGTGTGGGAGAGCAGATTTGAAAGTGAAATATCTTTCTAAACAAGTCATGACGACCTTTTTTGATCTGGTCAACCACTTACTAACATTATTATTAACACTTACTAGATTTAAACATAGTTCGTACACGTATAAGCGTAATTGTGAAACTTTTTTTATTATATTTTATTTTAATTGCAATGGCAGAGTCGAATGTTTATATTACTATTACGGTATACATTTGTCGTTTTTAAATAAAAAATGTCTTATAATGTTAAATTAAAGGGAGAGTAAAATGTATCTTTTATGCTTAAATAAATAGGGCGCGATGATAAGGAATTTATCGCATATATGCTGCGTCGATAAAAGTACTTTAAATTATTATTAAAATGAGATCATAACGATACTATTCTGTTTACTTTCGCTGTGTCCGAGATCAACGATGCACGAAATATCCATTTACATGATCCATTGGTCTGTTACGTATAGCCATTGCAAAATTATCGAAATACTTACGGATATACAAATAGCTTACGTTCAATGTTCATTCTTTCGGTCTTATTTTTAAATCTTAAAAACAAATTTTGAATCTGATCGCAAGCACGTAATCTATGAAAGGTTTATTTCTTTTACATTTGTTGGTTTTTTTATGGCTACTAACATAATACATACCGACTGTTGTAGAAGATTTCCTTGGGACAAATTCATAAGTTGACATTAGTAAATCCCATACATTTAAACAATTATACGAAATATTCAGTAAGTATTCAGTATTTCTACAAAGATTTTAGAGGATATTTAACTTTCTCCTGTTGGTGTAAATAATAATGGTGTACCATATTAGACGATGTCCAATTTTGTTGTTGGAAAGAAGAGGAGATTGCCGAAAATAGGAATCGGAAATTCGTGAACCGGTTCGTGATAAAGAGAAATTAAAATTTGTCAACTTTAAAGTATATCTAAATAAAAATGTAATTATGAAGAAAAAATTGTTTAAATTTAATTTAGGAATCTACAAATAAGGTTGATTACGTTTTTGATATTTTGATACATAAACTTAAACATATACTCGTATTAATGAACATATTTTATGGATAAGTCAATTGAAAAATAATAATCAAAATATTTACTATAGGTACATTTTATACTTTTTGAAATTGTTGAATATTTATTAAGTACCTTTTGGAATTAAATTTATTGTTCTTCGTATTGCCTAATATTTATCTAAGAAGTATAGATTTATGCATGAACAAAGTGAATATATTTTTTTGAATTTTCATACTGACATCTATTTATGTTTATAAGATGTATCATAAACTACAACTAAATTTTAAATTGGTAATAGGTGTTTGAATGTTTTATATACTAAAAAATACAATCATTTTATCTAAGAATCTAAGAAAAAAAACTTCATAAATGTGTTGACTCGTTATCCTTAATGAGTAATGTTTTTTTTTTTTTTTTTTTGAAACCTGATGATGCAATAATGAATTGTTTGTTAAATTACAATCACCACCGAGTTATTTGACATTGAATGCATAATTTTTCTGAAAAAACTCGAAAGCTTAAACGTATACGTGACACATTGTTTTCGCAGTACAGATTTTTCAAAAGTTAAAAACACTGTTGCTATACCTCAAGGGTGCCGAGGTTACTCTGTCGATCGTATCAGTAAGAACGGTAATTGTGCGATTCCGGTGCACGTACGTATTGCCAGTGTAGTAATTAAACTGCAGCAGTGCAGCGCACCAATAATAGTAATTAATGCGTAATATCGCCATCTGGTTCATAAACATTACTCCGGTCCTTGAACATTTGAGACGTGAAAGATAATACAATGTCGGATGCGAAACCAACGCACAAGGTACATTGTGTGCAGAAAAGTATGTTTTCATCGAGATTCGTTTTGCGGAGCATGAGCAAGTACAACAACGTAGCGCATAATTGTGCTCGACCGTAGCGGCAGATCGATCCGGATAAAAAGCTTACCGCGTACGACGAGCGCAACGTTAAATCCGACGATATTACGGAGTACATATAAAAATGCACTGGACGAACAGCAGCAGCCGGCTGTGCGGTAATATAATTCGCAACTGGTTCGCGCGGCCTTGTGTCGAGACCGCGCCTGACGCGCACACGTTTCCCGAGAAACTTTCCAACCTTAAAAACCCCGCGTCATGATTACACCTACCGGGTGTCGGACAACGCGAGATAAAAAAAAAAAAATAAACCGTTTTTGGTCAACACTTTCTACACCGTGAATCACACGATGGTCGCAATTAACGAGCGGAAAACGTACGTTTGACCGCCGCCGTCCGTTGTCCGAAGTATACGGAGCACGGCCGTTTCGCACACGTCGTTTATAGTCCGTGTGTTCACGGCAGCGGTGTGCAGCTGATGTTCCGCGCCTCGGTGCACCTTTGTCGACGAGCACTGCACCCGCGTTCCCGTCCGCGGTGCGAAATCGGATCCTCGACCTCGCGGCAGAAACCGCAATTTTTTTAGTTCCCGCGAACCACCGCCGTTTATTGGTGCGGTAGCCGACGAGGGTCGTCCACTGGCGACGTATACACCGCAACGACACTCGGTGTAGCGGCACGACAACGCGAGTTGGTTTCGCACTCCCGCGTGCCCACCGAAAGCCCGGTGAACCAGCATCGGTTACACGTCCAACGGGAGTGTTCCAATTAAACCGGGGAAACACTGCGATGCGCACAACGATGCACCGCGTGTTCGGGGTTTTTTTTCATTTCTTATTTTTTTTTTTTTTGTTTCTTTTTCAATTCGGGTCACCGTTGCACCTGCTTTTGCCGTGCAAACCCGCACCACGGATTCTTTGACCTTTGTGCGTCACACAATTGTCATCCTCGCCACGGCAGTTCACACCGCATGCGGTGCGTGCACAACTGGTCCGACGATAAATCTTGAAACACCAACATTTACCCTCCGTGCACACGCGCCTCCGTAGCGGTTGGTCCCGGAGAGCACTTGCTGCACACCCGTGTTCCGCCGACCGAAAATAATAAATTTAATAAAAAATAACGGTTTTGTCGGCTTCTATAGACCCGTAAGTCGGAAAACGTGTGGAAGAAAAATTACGATTTGTTTTTTTTACCGTCCGAAACCATTCGACAGTATTTTGTCTCGTGTCTTTGACCGCTACAATAACTGCACGTTACTTCTTGAACAAATCAAAAGTACGGTATTTTCGATTAAGACTCTGATTTATTTACGACAATGTTAATAAGTAATCGGTTAGTGACCACAACTGGCTCAAAATTGAACGAGCGACAACTTCCTGCCGACTGACGAGACACTCGGGTTTTTTTTCTTTTCTTAGATTTTGAACAATAGGAAATATATCGTCGCGTGATTGTCGTCGGTAATTACTTGAATAAAAAAAAAAAAAATGTATTCGGTAGATTGGACTACCAGAAACCTTCAAGGACACCGATGTTGGTAACCAACAACAGTAGTGCACTCTAAAACTTCCACTCGTTTATACTGGTAGCCTGTAGCGATGGCTTACCTGATGAAGTGAATCCGAGTGCAGGTCTTTGACATTATTGAAACCGCACAGGAGACATCCGCCCACAATTGTTTATAAAAACACGTGATTACAACTGAATTGATACATTGCCATTGAATTGTTTGTTCATCACGGATACGTAAACACAACAAAACGTAATATTTACTTATTACCAATAAGATAATGTAAACATTCCTTGTCGGATCTGAATGATAAGCTATTATCTAAATTACCAAGTAGCCTATCGAGTAAGAATGTGTTTGTTTAGGGTGAAAATAAAAAACATTATGGTTGAACGTAAGACATTAAATGAAATACAAATGAGATAAGAATCGTAGCTGAAAAACTTATTCTTAGTCTTTGAAAATATTGTTATAAAAGTAATTATTTTTACTCACACGAAATGTGTATATTTTAAGTAGGTACAGATTACTTGGGTTACTTGTTGATTTTTATAAATTTCTATAATTATAATTTGGAATTCATAAAATGATAATTATGATCATATTTACTACAGCAATATTTTTCGCTCAAGTAAATCAAAAAATATAGATAATATAAATAGATAAATAAAAATCTTTAAGTTCATTTCTCGCCAATAGATAAGATTGATCATTGATTTAAATAACAATTACGAGTCTTGTTAATGGTTTCATTTTAGTTTCAGTTGCATATGCTTATGTGTATGATATATTATATTTGCATTCAAGAACAGTTAAAACAAATGGACAATTGTTTTTTTTTATGTACCTAGTTAATAGAAAGCGAGAAATTACACTATGATATATGATGTTCGTAGTGAAAGATTTCGTGGGTGATATGAAGGCGTGTTCGTATTTGGCATGATAGTTGTTCTTACCTCCCCTTCCCACAAATTGGCCCAGATTTAAAAAAAGTATACAATAACTAGCAATAAGCGTTAATCACGAACTGGTCTTACATTGCAATTATTATAAAATTGGAAAGTATTTGTAATTATCAAAATGACATGTCACAACACATATGTTTTGTATGTTTAAACGATTGTACCACGCTGATTAAGTTGAGTGATTGGTAATCAGATAAGCCTTTCAATAATCGTTAATATTATGCATGTTGCAACTACTCATGTTGTAGTTTTATCACCGATCATCAGTTTTGATTGTTATTAAATAACATCAGCAAAACTATTGTTATGTTATTAAGATGTCACTAATTTTTTATTTATTTATTTTTTTTTTTTTTTTTTGCAGTGAAAATGAAATCCATCCTGCCTGCAGTGCTTTGGCTGTGGCAACTGATCAGTTTGGTAAGTAAAAACACAATGTATGATACCATTGTATGACAAGTAATCGTATTTTATAGAATCCTATTCAAATTATCAATAGCAACCGAAACATCTAAATTATTCTTTTTTTGAAATAAATGACAGCTTTCAAAGAATTGAAAACTAAAATAAATTAATATAAACAATTATGCATACCTGGAATAATAAAACCAATTAAATAATGTCCAGAAAGTCATGATTTTATGCTATACTATTATTATATGCAAACCTAAGTTTACACTCGACTTTCATTTTCGATCAAATGTCCAATCATCACATAAGTATCGAAACCAGGGGGAAAGTATTGAAATTATTATTATGCTTGTATTAATATGATTAAAACCGGTTTGGACATTAAAAAAAAGAAATGATTCACTGTGCGTACGAAATTTTACTTTATGCTTACATAAATAAGTGATTAATAAGGTTTTTTAATTATTTATAACTAAACTACACATTGATTTTTTTTGATAATAATATATTTATTTTCGCATATCTATACATGTTTCTTTATGGATCAATCAATGTTTTCTAAGCGTGTGTCACTGGAATCATACCCTGAAATAATTACGGAAGCAAATATTCAATAATAACTATATTGCATTTTTAAATTAAAAAATAGTTATAGAAAATTGTTTTTAATAGAAAATTTTACTAATGGAAACTCATGAAAAACAAGTTTGATAATAAAGATTTTTAATTTCAGTTGAAGGTCGATGTTAATCACCTGTATTTTGACGTTCATCGTTAACTAAACAATGTGTATTTTAATAAAAGTGTTCTTGAGATATATAGACTGGAAGGTTGTGCATAAATTTTTAAATTATGTTTTCATCATTTAATAATTAATTTTATCCTTCAAGGAAAAGGGCGATGGCTCAACAATATTATTTAAATTCACTATACAAATTTGATGATATAATTGAACCCAAATACACATAGGTTTTCATTGTATCAACAAAACAAATAACAACATAGAAGGTTTTGATCGTTATTTTTTTAACTTTACTATGATTTTGGTTTATACAAATATTTTAGTGTATTTTAACCATTTTGGAAAAATATAATTTTATGACATAGACTAAAAGTAATAAGAACAACAAAAATATATTTGCTGTTCGTTCACTGACCTGTAGTTCGTGGGTAGATCCACCAACAACGCCTAAACATTAATAATTTATATTTGAAATTTACATAATTTGTTTTTTCGGTTCTTTTATTTATCACCGTTAATATTGTTATAATGTATTGAAAAATACGATTTACACGGACATATATTATAATATATATATAGTCCCAATGCTGATAAAATTTCAGGTTTCCTATAATTTGCATTCTATAAATAATAACTGTATTGTTACTTAACAAAAATATTTATCTCAAATATTTAGCGAATAGCTCAAAATCAGAGTATTCATAAAGAGAATTATGAGCTAGAAGTTTATTACTTAGAATCCATACGATTCGTTCAGGAATAAAGTGTACACTTTTGAATTCTGGGAAAAAAATTAATATTAAGTATATTTTCATTCACATATTATTGGTGAATAATGTACAGTATATAACTATATAGTCTATACCACATAAAAATACGATTTAATAGCGGAAGGAATAAACTCAAGTCAATAATAATAGATAATTAATTTTTTTTTGTAATAATTCTCGTACGATCTATTATATATATTTTATAAACTACCCACTAGACATTATCAATATAAAGCTAGTCTCCGTGTAGAATATCGCCAGACAAGCGAAAGGAATAACTGGTTTACTTTGTCCTGAGCTAGATTGCATTCAAGAATACCATTATAAATACATATATATTATTTTAAAGAAACTCGTTTTCTGAGCATATCCGAGCTTGTGTAGGTATATGATTTTGTTAAAATTTTATTGCGAATGCCAAAGAGCATAAACAGTAAATTTGAAGAATTTAGTCATAATAACATTTCGAAAACACTAATCCTTTTATCGATTTTACACATATTTTAACGATTATTAATTTGATGTTTATTTACTTCATTACAATAATTCAGTTGGAAACATCCATTTAATACGTTGTATTCAACTTTTATTGCTTTATACTACCGCGTTACGCTACTTGTTACTATTATTGTTTATTGTTATTATTTCCATTACATTTTTTTCCTCCTCCCGATAATACTTCTCACGACTTCTATAATACAACTCACCGATGGGTCTTTTATAACTAATTGTGACTAGATGTTGTCACTACAATTATTGTGCACATACTACGTCTACACTACGTCAAGTAGTATCGAACTTGGCACTGGCCGGAGCACGGGGCACGGGGCACGAGCAGTCATTCACCCTTAGGTCGTGATTTCAATTCCTTCTCTTTTACTCTCGATCAGACAGAGCAGCTCTCGGACGATTATATTAATCGTGATCACGTTATAAAATATCGTTGTAGTACTGCGGCAGCCAAGTCGATAGCATATGAAAATTTTACGCAAAACTTCCACTGGGGCTGCACAAAGAAATCGTAGAAGTAAATAAACGGATAAATCGCTTGTTTTGCGGATGTTGTCGGATCGCCCGAAAAATGTAACCAGTCTGATAGCTGAGTTCGCCGCTGAACGGGACGTCACCGCGCGTTTATAGAGTGCAACAGGCGTGAATGAATTCATTATTAATTCGGCGTGAAAACAATAAGTGTCATACGTTAATGTATCGCGAGGCACAATATTCGGTTGTCAAGTTCAAGGGTATTCCATTGCGATAACAAAACCGTATTATTGTGACTAAGTTTAAGATTTCGCTAAACGTGTTTTATTCATGACTGGCTGTGTGGATTCGGACTTCGATAAGCGTGAAGTTGCAGACACAACCGAGACGTTTATCGTAGCCGTGTCTGCAGACTAGATGTCAAAACTGCTAATGATGAAAAATACGAGTTTCAAATTTAATTTATCGAATTATTGATTACCAGATAATCTTTAACACGCTGACATTATAATTGACTGGTGGTACAAGTTCATAACAAAAAATACAGTATAAATAGACATTCATGTGGCCGTAATACTCGGCTATTTAATTTATCCGGAGAGTAGTATTCGAAGTGACAAATTACTAATTTGTGTAAGTGACTTAACGGATTACATGCAGGATAACTGAATACAGAATGGTCTACCAAGTAGAACTATTGGATTTGATTAGTACAAACCGTTATGTTGTCGTCGGATATAAAAAAAATGATCTAGAGTCCACTAACCTTAAGTAATGATTTATTGCTTCGATATTCGTGTTCATCATAATATAATCATGTGAGTTAAAGCATTAAATCCACTCTTGGAAGTAATAAAATAATTCGAGCGATGGGGAACACTTGAACAAACATAAAATCGCTTTGAATGATGTATAAAAATACTTAGAATACGGTGTCGAACACGTATACGCAATAATAGTTAACAATATATATCGAGTATTTATATTTACGGATAACACCGAAAACAACGAGAAGCTTCAACATGAAAATATTATGTTCATGGGGTCACCGACGTGGTCACTAGTCAAAGAAAATAACAGGTTGCCGACGCGTGTACATACGGTCGCGATTATCGCATCCACTGCAACGCGCGTTCGTCGAGAATATTATATACGCGCGCATGATGGCTTGGTAGTTTGCTGCAGCTTGTGACAATTCGCACAATCATCATTAAAATCTCAAGTTCGGCAGACGAAAACCAAATTATGATTTCAAAATAATTTTGATGACCCCTACTTCGGAACAATTGTATCGTTTACGTATAAAAATATATAAGTTTTTTTTCTTAAAAAAAAAAACAAAGGATGAGCACAAAGCAAACGGACCTTCGCGAACGACGCAGTACATCGTACGCCTTTGACGGATTACTATTACGACAGAACTTACATTGTTTACGGCATGCGTGTTATCAGTGCCGTAGCAACCAAACATTGAGCCCGGCGCGAAATTTCGAAATGCGCCCTTACGTATTTTTAATTTAAAAATATTATGCTTATTAGATATTATTTTCAACGATTGTTTTAATTAATACGAAGGATGTTAAAGATTTTGCAAACTAAATATACGACATTAGCCGTTGTTAACATTAAAAGCAAGATTTTCATTTTTGCGCGCTCCCAGGAATCGCCATCCCCTTGCTACGGCCTTGTGTGTTATTTACGCGGAGAACGGTGCAACGCACACGTTATGTACGCGCACGTACGGTAAGTACCATCTCACACGGAGGTACGTGGTCCTCGGGGGTGCGCTGCAGCGGCTCGTAGACAATGGATACGTGTACCCGAAGTATATGCGTGCACGTGTGCGTACCAGAGGCGTACGAGACCACGTAATTATTATTCGAGGGTCGGCGCGAAGGAATCGGATAGTATGTAAATAATAATAATAATATATGTTTCGTAATAATCGTGTGGCTCGTGGTAACCGGTCGTATCGTACGGGTGGTAGGTGCTGTGCGTGTGCGTACGCGCGTGTGCCGTGCAAGTACCGAATGTATAACGTTTTTGGTGTACACACGTTATAATCGAGAACAAATACGATGTGCCTATGGTACGTAGGTACCAGGTCATATTCTAACGGGCAATACGACCCAAATAGGGTAGTAGGAAAAATCAAAAGGACAAATATGACCTTATGAATACGGGCACCTTACAAAAATAATTTAATTTTCCTTATGGAATGGTTGAATTTATACTGAGTATTTGAAATTTATGTAATTTATAAACCCGATCCAGTACCTAATAAGTAATAATTATGAAATTTTACAATCTTTGCTGCTCCGATGATCGATTAATCTAGGAAATTTAAATTTAAATAGTGGTTTACTGGTTTACGCGTCACGGAAAAGATGCGTATTTTTTTTTTTTAATATTTTACCACGCGATGGTCAAAATTCTAAAATATCAGTGTACAATTTATTTGGTGATGGGGGGGTAAGTATTGTGATCCGAATAAATTTCATAAAACAAACTTT